AGCCTGATCATTCTTGGGTAGGCAAAGCCTGTGTTCAGATTCTACAGACTTTCTTGTTAAAGTCTATAAATCACAAGGGAAAAGTTAGCTGGAGTTGAATGACAAGTATCAACTCTTTGACAGGGTAGATAACTGCAGGACAAGGGGAAATGGTTTGAAGTTGAGGGAGGGTAGATTTAGGTTGGATGTCAGGGGGAAGTTCTCTACTGTAAGAGTGATGAGGTGCTGGAACAGCTGCCCAGAAAGGCTGTGGATGCCCTGTCCCTAGAGGTGTTCAAGGCCAGGTTGGATGGGGCCCCGGGCAGCCTGGTCTAGTATTAAATGGGAAGGTTGGTGGTCCTGCATGTGGAAAGGGGGTTGGAGATTCATGATCCTTGAGGTCCCTTCCAACCCTGGCCATTGTGTGATTCTGTGAAGTAGCTTCTTCACTTTAGTCAGCTGCAGCTTAAATAAGGCTTTGTTACCAGAAAACCAGGACAGAAAACTAGAAACTAGGTGAGCAGGAAAGACAATCTAATATAAAGCATTTTTCCATGGTTATGTTGAGGCTTGAGTGAGCGCATCTTAGTGAACCCCTAAAATTAGTTTTCACTCCCTCCTATTTTAAAGCCTGAAATAAAGATAACCTGTACCTTAATATAAAGGTTTACTTCTCTGATGTCTGCTATTGACTCTGAGAGACATCCTAATGTAACACTGAGGATAACTTTATTTATGCAACATAAAAAGTGTCTGTTTTGTTATATAAAATTAGTCACTGAGAACCACTGAGAGTAGTCTTTGAATAGATTTCCTCTTTCAGTGTTGCTAACTGGTATTTTAGCTCATACTGCACCCACACATGTGCACTTACCTGTCTGGTAAACAGGGAGGAACTGAACAGAGTGCAGCTTTGTCTCTTCACAAAAGCCAAAAGGGGACTGGTCTGGTGTAAAATGCCTGGAAGGAAAAAACACAACACATGAAGTCAGTAAGAAGCTATCATCTATTCCAAGCAAGTAAACAGCAACAGCTGTAATATCCAGAGCTGATGTTTTTATACTCGACTATCCTTCATTCCTATTACTAATAGAGTTATCTTATTGAGGCCAAGAAACACGTAGCACAGCTAGAGGCAACTACCTCAAGTTTTTGCAACCAAAAATCCTTTCTTTGCTCCTCCACGACTCATGTGTTCAATACTGGGATCTGATGAATGTCACGGAGTTATCTCTAGATCTGTGTCCATGACAGGGGGAGAGCAGGCCCACAGGCCCAGAAAAGAGGAGAGGAGTTTCAGCGGTTTGTGGGCCGGTCCAGCCCAGTTCTGTGACTAATGGGGCAGGGAACCCACAGACCCACACCTTAAGAAAGGGAAAATGGGGAAGGGTAGGGAGATGGGCCTACAAATGAACAGCGGCAACGATCTGAGGAGGAAAGTTAATTTACTACATATGATACTGGAATGCAAGATAACACAATATAATACAATGTATAATTAGAACTGAGGCTAATGAATCAAAACCAAAGGCCTTATTATGAATTGAAAGCGAAATGGCTGGGGAGCACACCCACACATGCCACCAGGCAGCGAAAAAAGAGACCAGTCCCATGACTTGCAAGGAGTTTTATCTCCCCCTGTGAATGCAGAGTCCTCTGCGGTATGCAGTTGTTCTCTTCTGAGAATCAGGTACCTGGAAAATTGGCAGTCCACAGAAGTGGGACATTAACTCCTTAACTTCCAGTGCTTTTCATGATGTTATGATGTGGAATACCAATAACAAAAATTGTAAACCATGACAGTGCTGTACACACACTAAAATGGATCTGAACCATTATTTAACTTTTTTTTCCCCCCTATCCCTTCTTCAACTGAACACAACGTAACATGGCGTAGTTGTCAGTCCTACTTTTCTTTCCCATTGCATCTCATCCTTTTCCTTGCTTTGCTTTGGAATTCACAACTGGACTGTGATACTAATGCTTCAACAGTTTTAGATAAAAGTTTAAAGGATTTGATTACTAATAAAACCAAGGGTGTTGTTGTTTTTTAGTACTGAAGATACTTAGTAAACTCCCCATTCCCAGCTGCACAAAGGGAGAACTTTTTTTTTTGGTAAATGTACTTAAGTAACCATCACTTCAGCTGGAGTTGAACTCCACAGAACAAACAAGCAGAAGGTAGTGCCTTGATCACTGTCAGGACTGCTGATTATTTCTGCCTGTTACACTTTGTAGTAGTTTTGTTTTAAATATTAAGAAAATTTCACATAAGTTACTCCAGAATAAGTGCGTAAAACTGCTCTGCCAGTTTGGCATGAAAGTATAAGAACTGTGGGTGGCCAAATGCTGGAAAAGGCTGCCCAGTAAGGAGCAACTTGAACTCAGCTAGATCGAGTCCTGGAAGGCCTAGTCCAGCTGATCCTGCCCAAGCAAGGAGATGTTGAGGAGATGGACTCAGTAAGTCCCTTCCAATCTAACTGATTTTGTCATCCAGAATGCTGAGAAAATACCATCCCTCCTGATACATCGCAAGAGATGCTGTCATGTGTGCTCTTCACAGAATTCAAGGATGTACAATGAAAACTGATATTAAACATCACCAGTACTGCAAAACCACCAAAGTTAAATTGCATTTAACTGTGCTAACTAGCCACTTTCACAAAATTAAATAAAGCTTAGGATTTGTAAGGCCAAGTAAGGGTCTTCATTTGCATCACAGTTATCTCCTCAGCAGACAAAAAAAAAAAAAAAAAAAAAAAAAGCAACGACATAAAAAATACACAGCACGCAAAAATCCCAGAAGCCAAAACACCAGGATTTTTCTTTCGGCAAGATGTGAGCTCATTTTGGTTACTTGAAATTATTAACATAGCAGTTAAC